ACCTATGGGGCTGTGGGGGTTCAAGAGATGAGTTTGGAGAGGGAGATAGAGACCAAGTCACACCCCACCTTCGGACCAGGTTAATAAGGGTTCTAAGACTTCAGTGATGCTGTTGGAGGGCAGAGCCGTTAAGTGCTTTATGTGTACAAACTGTCTTTCGAGTGGGTTACTGTTAATAAGTCCTATTTTACAGAAATAGCACGAAGACCCAAAGGATGGAACCAGCTTGCTCCAGGTCCCGTGGCTGAGCCTTTGTGGTCAGCCTCTACTTTGTCTTCCAAAGTCTATAGAAATAAGTCCTTTAGAAAGGCAGATACTTACTTTTAACCCAGACAAAACATAACTAACTGCACCTAAGAGGTCATCACAGGTTCGTTGTCTCAAGCCTGTTGCAACTGGGCCGCTTTCTCTGTTTTAGGTTTGGACCTTCTGCGTACAGACGGTTTAGTAGTGGTGGTGCCTATCCCAACATCCCCCTCTCTTCTCCTTTACCTGGAGTACCCAAGCCTGTTTTTGCTACAGTTGATGGACAGGAAAAGTTTGAAACCAAAGTAACCACATTGGATAATGGGCTTCACGTGGCATCTCAGAATAAGTTTGGACAGTTTTGTACAGTAGGAAGTAAGTACTGTTGTGGTGCTGTGAGTGGTCCCGCATTTTTAACATGCACATGCTTTAGTTGACTGTTAGTTGTAGTTAGCATGCCAATTATGAATTGTACCCTGAGTGGAAGCAAAGTGTACAATTTCATGAATGTTGACCTACACGTATACCTGTGAAACCATCAGCACAATCACTCTCATATAGTGAAATCTGATTATTGTGTCATATTGAAATTTTAAAATGTTTCTCTTGATTAAATTTTATTTTGAATATCTGATTTAACCTGTCAATTTTCTTTTTCCTACTAGTTCTTATTAATTCAGGATCAAGATATGAAGCAAAATATCTTAGTGGAATTGCTCACTTTTTGGAAAAATTGGCATTTTCGGTCAGTGCCCAGTTTTGTAATTTTTTAGACTATGCTTTTGAAGGATGTTTGAGGTTTTTCTTCTCTATAATGGTTATTTTCATAAATTATTAAGTTGCTAAGTTAATGCTAATAAAAGACTTTTAAGTTGAAAGATAATTTTTGTACATAGTGTTAAAAGCAAAAGTAAATTTTAAAAAGACTTGCATTTTAGGGGTAGTCTGGATTGCTCATTTAGGTTTTCCTATTTATTTTTACCAGTCTACTGCTCGATTTGACAGCAAAGATGAAATTCTGCTTACACTGGAAAAGCACGGGGGTATTTGTGACTGCCAGACATCAAGGTACACCAGCTTTTACGTACAAAGTGACTTTGTGTCCGTGGGAACTGACGTCCTCGTCGTTGCTCAGATTCTGTCTGAGCCCCTCCCACTGGGAGGTGTGGAGATTCACAGGGAGAAGAGCCCTGTCCTGGATGGAGAGTTGAGTGGGCAGCGCTTACACAGAGAAGCACAGCCCTCAGGACCTCAGTTCACCCCCGTCAGTTCATCCAGGCTGTTGGCTGCATGCCAGGGATGTAGAGCAGGCCCTGTTCCCAGATAGAGCAGAGGGCCTTGCATACATGCTGGACCCAGTAGCCAAAGGCGGTAGGAGCCAGGAGGATGAGCAGCTGACTTGGTCTGGAGTTGGGAAAGGAATAATAGGAGACGCAGGATTGGGCTGGTTCCTGAAGGAACCTGAAGGACTTTGCTAGACACACAGGGCAGAAGGCATTCTAGACCAGGAGACAGCAGGGGCAAAAGGCACTGAGCCAGGGAGGTGCCGGCTGCTTGGTGAAGGGAGGGAACAGTTGCCTGGAGCACAGTGCAGTGGTCTTTGCATGCCAGGTGTGGAGCTTGTTCAGAAAGTGCTGGACAATGTGAGATGGGTGGATACAGATCACAGATTTTTAAAATGGTTGATGTTTTAAGTTTGAATGCTAAAAAAATTATACAAAAAAGACACGTCAAATGCTAAGAATTAAAGTAAGCTTGGAGGTAACATACTCACATTCTAAAACAAGACCTCTTAATACCCGCTGACTCCCAGATGCCCCTGCCAGGCTCCTGCCTGGTGTGTCTGGTCCTCCGACTCTTGACTCAAATCTGACTCATCCCAGATGAACTCCTTTCCTGGCCAGGTGGCTGGTGTCCTGACTCAGACCCAGCCCCTCTCGCCCTCAGCTCAGGCTTTTGTTTCTGCCATTCTCCCCACGTGAGCCAAAGTCACTGAGAATGGCTCCTCTTCAGGGTGAAGGTCCAGCCAAGTCCCCTCTTCAGAGGCACTGGTGGCCACGTCCTGCCTCCCAAGCTCCCTCTTCTTCACAGCTGTTGTGTCTGTTCTGCGCAGTCTCACTTGATCACATTTGATCTCAGATTACCCCGTGATTTCGTGTCTGTCCCATGGGCCAGCTCTGTGCACTTCTGACTGTTCTGTGCCTTGTGCCGGAAACAGATGTTACAGCGAGACAGAAGCTCCATACAAGCCAGCCGTTGCTGTCCCCCGAGCCAGCCAAGGCCGGCCGTGTTTCCACACTCACCAGTGGGTTCATTCAGTCAACAGGAGGCTGGGATGAAACACTTCACCTTTTGAGAGAGACTATAGTTACAAAAACCTCTCTCAGAAGTGGCTCCATTTTGACTCAAGCTGTGTGTAGCTGAGTCCTGCCTACTAAGCATTCACACTGTAACACAGGAGAAGAGAAAGGGGAAAAGTGTCTGCTGTTCCCCGACAAAGGGTGGGAGGTGCCCCTGGCACGCAAACCTCAAGCATCCCCTGAAATGTCTGCCAGTCCCCAACAAAGGGTAGGAGGTGCCCCTGGCACGCACAGCCTGAGCGTCCCCCTGGCTGCTCAGCAGAGTGTGAGCTCTGGGCCTGGCATTTGTCCCCCTGGCATGCAAAGCGTGAGCATCCCCTGACTGTTGAGCAGAGTGTAAGCTCAGGACCTGGCATTGTGGGCTTCTTTTTTCTTCCAGAGACACCACGATGTATGCTGTGTCTGCTGATAGCAAAGGCTTGGACACGGTGGTCGGCTTACTGGCTGATGTGGTTCTGCAGCCTCGGCTAACAGGTGTGGATCCCACCCGCTGGTGTTTGAGGTGGGCCTGGACATAGGGAAGGCCAGAAAGGTTTGTGGAAGCCCTGCAGCCGTGAAGAAGAGCACCTTGTAGTTGTGTAATTGGAGCTTCAGGCCAACACAAAGCGACAGCGAGATCTCGTAAGAAATAGTGCTACGGGCCGGACGCGGTGGCTGACGCCTGTAATCCCAGCAGTTTGGGAGGCCGAGGTGGGCAGATCACGAGGTCAGGAGGTCGAGACCATCCTGGCTAACACGGTGAAACCCCGTCTCTACTAAAAATATAAAAAATTAATCAGGCATGGTGGCGGGTGCCTGTATGTCCAGCTACTTGGGAGGCTAAGGCAGGAGAATGATGTGAATCTGGGAGGTGGAGCTTGCAGTGAGCCGAGATCGTGCCACTGTACTCCAGCCTGGGCGACAGAGTGAGACTCTATCTCAAAAAAAAAAAAAGAAGAAGAAAGAAATAGTGCTGGGTCCAGGCACGGTGGCTCACACCTGGAATCCCAGGACTTTGGGAGGCTCAGGCAGGCAGATCGCTTGAGCCCAGGAGTTCGGAGTTTGAGACCAGCCTGGGCAACATGGCGAAACCCTGTCTCTACAAAAAAAGATACAAGAATTAGCTAGTTGTGGTTGCTTACACTTGGAGTCCTAGCTACTCTGGAGGCTGAGGTGGGAAGATAGTTTGAGCCTGAGAGGTTGAGGCTGCCGTGACCCATGATTGTGCCACCGCACTCCAGCCTGGGCAACAGAGTGAGGCCCTGTCTCAAAAATAGAAAGGAAGAAAGAAATAGGGCCAGTAGCCAGGCGTGCTGGCTCACGTCTGTAATCCCAGCGTTTAGGGATGCAGGGATGGGAGGATCACTTGAGCCCAGGACTTCGAGACCAGCCTGAGCAACATAGCAAGACTCTGTTTTCCACAGAAAGGAAAAAAACAAAAACCTGCTGGTGATTGTGAAAGTCCTTGGTGTTTCAGAGGGTGTGTATTTGAGACATCCGTGCCCTGGGATGTTTTTAGTGAAATTGGTTCTTCCGTTTTGGAAGGGCGCCTCCGACTGTCTTTAAACAACTGGAATGGTGTGTGCCAGAAATGTCCATTTCACTGTTTCCATTGCCCTCCTCAGCCTTGCAGATGGCAGGACTTTGAGTGCCTGCCAGGGGGCCAGGAGAGGGGAATGTTGGCTTTTCCAGATACCCTAAGGGTGCCCTGTTTCACAGCAGCCTGGTCTTGGTGTTCAAAGGCTACAGTCCCACGTTAAGATCTTGTTGTCGCAGCTGCACCCTTGACATCTGTCTGTGCCTCTGTTTCTTTTTGGAGATAGAGTCTCGCTCTGTCGCCTAGGCTGGAGTGCAGTGGTGTGATCTTGGCTTATTGCAACCTCCACCTCCCGGGTTCAAGCGATTCTCCTGCCTCAGCCTCCCCAGTAGCTGGGACTACAGGCGTCCACCACCATGCCCAGCTAATTTTTGTATTTTAGTAGAGACGGGGTTTCGCAGTGTTGGCCAGGCTGGTCTTGAACTCCTGACCTCAGGTAATCCACCCACCTCGGCCTCCCAAAGTGCTGGGATTACAGGCACGAGGCACTGCGCCCAGCAGTGTGCCTCTGTTTATATGCACCTTCATGTCTGGTCTCGTGTCCTCACAGCAGCACTTGGGATGGAGATGGACAGGTCCGGTATCCTCAGTGCCTTTCACCAGCAAGGAAGCCAGGGCTTAGCAGGCTCAGATGGCTGCTTTGTGGCTGATGTGGGATGAGAGGCCTAGGCCCCCCAGCTCCTGCTTCCTGTGGCAGTCCCCCTCACTCACACAAGCACCCAGTCTGCCCCTAGATGAAGGCAGAGGTGACTGCCAACAGCCACCAACAAGCGGCGCTCAGGCCAGCACACAAGCTGTGGGTCACTGCTGTGTTCCTCATCTGTGCCATTGCAGACCGAGCCCGCCTTTGGGTTCTCTTGCAGATGAGGAAGTCGAGATGACGCGGATGGCGGTCCAGTTTGAGCTGGAGGACCTGAACCTGCGACCTGACCCAGAGCCACTTCTCACTGAGATGATTCATGAAGTAAAATGTCAAACTTGAGAATGCCCCTGCACCCCGCTCAGTGGCCCTCGTGACACCAGGGGTGGTGGGGAGGGGTTGGTTTGCCTCCTTGATGTCCTTGCAGGTTATGGCTGTGTATGTAACATTTTAGTTTGTGTTTTTTGAGATGAGATCTCTCCACATTGCATACATTGGTCTTGCACTCCTGGGCTCAGCTCAGGTGATCCTCCTACCTCTGCCTCCCAAGTAGCCGGGATTACAGACGTGAGTCACTGTGCCCAGCGTAGAACATTCTTGATTTCTGAGTCTGCTGTTTATACAATGTTCGTATTTTCCGGTTCTTATAGTAACTAGGTCTTTACTCCTTAACACAATTAATCTTAGGCTTTTTGTAAATTTTTATTCTGGAGAGGCAGATTACTCTTTTTATAAATACATACACAGCTGCTACTGCCAAACTGCAAGTGAAATATCAGCTTGCGTAGGATTTTCCTAGGGCTGGCTGCAGATGGGCGCTGGTGCTGCTTGTTGGAGGAAGCCTGGTCGTGCTGTCTTCAGTCACCTGTGTCTATGGCTCTTCCCCACTAGGCGGCTTACAGGGAGAACACAGTTGGCCTCCACCGTTTCTGCCCCACAGAAAACATAGCCAAGATCAATCGGGAGGTGCTGCATTCCTACCTGAGGAACTACTACACTCCCGACCGCATGGTGCTGGCCGGTGTGGGTGTGGAGCACGAACATCTGGTGGACTGTGCCCGGAAGTACCTCCTGGGAGTCCAGCCGGCCTGGGGGAGCGCAGAGGCCGTGGATGTTGACAGATCCGTGGCACAGTACACTGGGGGGATTGCCAAGGTGAAGTGGCGGGAACGTCTCATGGCCTCGGGTGGGGAGCACGTCCCCTGGCCTGTGGCGTGGCATGTTTTTGTATTGATTCTGAGGGTGATAGGTGTTGACTGCACTTGTCGCTTTGCCTTAAC